TCAAATTTCCTATGTTTGTTCACTTTATTTAACTTTAAGATTTTATTTTTTGTGAATGCTACTCTTATCATATTTTTCATACCATATTTATATCACTTTTTTAATAGAGATGAGACATATATGTTGATGAACCCTACTTCTATAGAGAGATGATACAATTGTATGAAAAAGGTGGTAAGTGCAACATTACTTTTTATTTTTTTGAGTATTGTTGGAGAGACCACATATTTATACTACATTGATGTACCATATGATATGGAAAGTGATATCAACATCTAATAAGATAACTGATTACAAAACGTGGCATGCGTACTGTCATATCACAATACGGCACACCAATGTAATAAAAATAAAACATGTGATCTATCTAGTATTTTGCTTATTTTTTATTTATATTGGTTGATAGTTACAATAATTTTGTTGAACCTTAAGAAGGATTATACTCAACATCATGTGGGTGAACATATTGACCGATGGGGAGGCACCTCGTATCAAACTACGTAACTGCCAAATATGAGTAAATTCCAGTTCCTGCACATGGGAAGCCCATACTTTGCTTGCATATGAGCTAGTTAATTTTTCTTATTTTTAGAAAACCTGGATGGCATGAGGGATATTTTGTGGATAACAAAATAAAATAAAAAGTTACACCTAGTCAGAGGGGACATAAACCTTATCCCTCATTATACCAAGAAAAGGAGAAAAACAACATGAATATATAAGAAAGGGGGACATAGACCTTACCCCTCTAGAAACGAAAACAAAAACGATACAAGGAAAAGAAGGGGGGGGCATGAAACCTAAGCCCTCTAAAGCGAAACCTAAAAGGTCAAAAACCTGCAAAACCTACAAAACAAGTCAAATGACACCACAAGGTTAGGAAAAAACAAGAAATGGAGACATACTTGCATGTTGAGATGCACATTAGTTTGAGAAGCGGAAGCTAGGCAAGCGAACATAATCTGAAAACAAAGCAGCATAAGCCGCTGGCAGAGGGAAGTCATGCCACCAAAGTTAGAGAAGGCAAGCCCATGTTAGCAAATTTATCCGCAACAACATTTCCTTTGCGATATATGTGAAAGGCATAGAAGGTCATATTCCGAATGTGATCCTGACAAGTAGGCCATTATGTATGAAGAGGCCAAGGAGGATCAAAATCGGTTGATTGGAGAGCAGCAATAACACTAGAACAATAACTTTCCAACCAAAGGCAATGTTAACCCAGCAAATATGCAAACTCGACACTAATAATAATTGCTAATAATTCTACAAAAAAAAAAAAGTTGCAATGCCCAATCCATTCGCATAAATCATCAAGAAATTGACCATGGAAATCCTTGAAAACTCCTCCACATGCAGCAGGACCAGGATTTCCTTTAGACAAATCATATGTATTAAGAGAAAACCTAAGCGCAGAAGAACAGTAGGTGCCTTGCTAGGGATAGGTCGAATCCCAAGAGAAGAAATGATACGAGTGTCCAAACCTTGAGAGTAACCAAGAATAAATTTCCCAATACGAACGACCTCGGAATTGATAGACATGCAAAGACGATGAAAGGAGATTGGTTGACCCTAAAAAATAAACTTATTTCGAGCTTTCCAAATAGTTGAAATAGTAGAAAGACCTGCAAAAATCTAGAGATTATGCAACTGATGAGAAAGGGTTTAACATAGACATCCTAAATTGACATGCAACCACCTCCAAAGTTGCCTAGATATTCGACAGCCAAAGAAAAGATGAGCACCAGATTCCTCAGAGTTATGACATAAGTGACAAATGAATGCCAAAGAAATACCACGCCATTTTAGAGTACCCTCAGTAGGAAGCTTATCGTGAAAAGCCGCCAAACTAAAATAAATTGTCAAGTTGGAACAAAATGTCACCAAACAAGCTTAGCCCAAGTACAATCATTATGTTTCCTTCAAATAAGATGATAACCAAAAGAAAAAGAAAAGTTCCTAGTAGGTGGTGGTTTCCAAATTAATTTGTCGTCCTCTACATTTAAAGGCAAAGGTATACGTAAAATTTGTTCAACCACAGATGAGAATAAATCTGTAAAATAATATGGCAAGACCAACTTTGAGATTCAATAGCATCTAAAACTTGAGGATGAGCTATAGGTGAACTGACTGGAGATAATGAAGAGTTAATAATTGGGTCATCTAACCATTTGTCGAACCAAAGGGAAACTAACCTCCCATCACCAATAATCCAACGACTATTACTATTCTAAATAAGTAAGGCATGCTTTAAACCATGCCACATAGAAGACCATAAGTAGATATTTTGTTTTTTGTAAGGCGCAAGAGGAAAACGCTAACGAGCAAAAAAGCCCCATAAAGAATGGGATTGTAAAGCATCCCAGCCGAATCTAAGCAAAGCCGTCAAGTTTGAAGAAGCAAAATCACAAAGACCAAGCCCACCTTCCTGATTAGGTCACCATACTTCAGTCAACACTTACCAACTGTCGAGAAGCCAGGTCTACTTACCAAAGAAATTTCCTTGCACAAGCAGTAAGATGCATTAAAAGGCATGCCGGCAATTGATAAACTGAGAAACTATAAAGAAACAGGCTTTGATAAATAGACTGCACCAACTAAAATTGTCTAGCCATTGAGAGAAGTTTATCTTTCCAACCTGATAGGCGAGCTTTAGCCTTATCTACCAAAACTTGAAAGTGAATTCTCCTTGGCTTACCACGGAAAATGGGTACCGCAAGATATGTAAAATGAACGGTACCCTAACGAAAGCCAAGATATCTCGAAACCTGTGCTCTAAAATGGGCAGAGGTGGAGCCGAGATAAAAAGTACTCTTCATTGCATTAATAAGTTGTCCCAATGCACAACCATATTTATCCAACAAATTTTGAAGAGCACAAAGAGATCGAACACTTCCACGACAAAAAAATAAAAAGATCATCAGCATATAACACATGGGTAGGAGGGCAGCAAAAAAAGCAAAGATAAACCCCTACTCATAGCTTCCTCTGCTAGACAGAAAAGAAGTGGAGAAAGAGTGTCTCCCTGACGTGCACCCTGAGAGCAAGAGAAAAATCCACGTGGTGTGCCATTTACTAAAATTGAAAGTCGAGCCGACCATACTAAAACTAAAACATGCACTGAGTCCACAAATATTCGAGAAAAGCCAAAGCTAGAAAGCACATGAAGAAGAAAACTTCAATTAAAAGTATCAAAAGCTTCAACAATATCAACTTTTATGCTCACGTTACCACCATAAGCATTTTTGTCCATAAAATTGAACCATTCTGAAACTAGACCAATGCAATCAGAAATTCGTCTACCTTTCAAAAAGGACATTTGCTGAGGAGAAATGATGCATGAGCTACTTACTGGATTGGAATGAATTGTGGGTTCATGGGTTCCTCTAGGTCTTTCTAATATTGTTTACTAATTGTTGCGGCATATCAAGTGACTTTGCATAAAAACTTTCATGACATGGTTATAACACTATTGTGTTGTTAATTGTCAATCATGCAATGCAATGTGTAAGTTCTTTTTGCATAACGTTTGTGTGATTGGCACGAGAAACCACACAAGCCATAGAAGTTGGTCTTGAAGGAAAAATTTGATAAACTAAGTTCATATGAGCAACACACATACATGTAATTGACAATTAAAGGCTCTAGCATGCTTATATGCACCAAAAACAAAACTTAACTCATAAAATTCAAAGCCTAGTAATTGTTAGTCAAAGACTCAACTCAAATTCAAAACAAAGAGAGGTGACTTTATACTTTTGTAGATCTTCTTTGCAAAAGCGAAGAATAATCACCCAAAGTGAGGTCCTCGTTCCTTTGCTCATTGCTTCTTGTATCCATGAATATGGATAAACTCCTCTTGCTTCTTGGCTCCTTAGATCCATGTTTTGGATGGTTAAAAGGATTCTCCAACGCCACCAAATTAGAAGGCTTCTATTTATCCAAAAAAAAAAAAAAAAAAATTAGAAGGCTTCTAGTTTACAACACCAAACATGAATAAGGAAGAAAATGAGTGTCCATCCCACTCATAAATTTGATACTCGTGCAAAACGTGGCGTATTTGTTGACTATCTCTTTGTCAAAAAGCTATGCGCTTTATAATTTGGTCAATAAGGCTATCCTCCCACCCTAGTGGATCAACCACAGCAGCCCACACGGTCGGCTACTTCCCTTGCGCTCACCTTCCACAGCAGCCTCTACCTTCCACAGCAGCCTCTACCTTCCACGCAATCTCTTGCGTCCCCAACTCCATTCCCTCTGCATGCCACAACCCACGACCACCAGCCCGCCAATTCCTTCCGCGTCACCTCTGCATCCCCACCTAATATTGTGTTGATTACCCGTTATCCATGAAGTTTCTTCCATCCTCAAAAGTACTACGTTTTGTTTTATGTGATTTATCTTTGTGATAGAGCGTAATAATGTCTATACATTCTTGTACGGATTTGATCTCTACCGATTTCTCTACTTTTAACAACTAACAATTTAATCCCCTCATTTTATAGTTTTCAAATCAAACAAAAAAAAATTCATGTTGTTTCTTTTGATTAAAATTCTAAATAATATTTAGTCGAATAATTAGCCTCGGTTACTAATCAATCCACTTTGCTTGGCAAGTTTTCGTATCCCAAACTCAACGCGAAGAGAAAAACTTGGGAGGGAATGACATGCCTTATGGCAAGATAAGTCTAAATGAAATATATATTCTAATTAAAAGTTTAAAACATACAAAAATGCTAACCAGTTGAAGCTCACAACAAATGATAGTGCTCTAATTATTGTCACGGCTTATAGCTTAAATAGTATAAATAAGAGCCGAAATCAAGCTCTTGGTGTGTAGAAATGAGTTAGAATTTGGTAAGTCCAGTGCTCGATTTCCTTCTAGGTTTCTACAGTAACCAAAAATAAATTAAAAAACTGATAAACAATAATTGGCATCTAAGGCTTATGTTACTATAAGGAGTGGAAACAAACTTCTTTTGTTTGGTACCAAGACGAAATGGTTCTCAAAATATCTCTTAGGTTTGAATCATTACACATTCAATGCGAATGTTACTATACATTTTTGTATACATTTTACTCTAATTCAGCAATTGCTTCTAGCTCTAGGCGTCTTGCATTTCTAGTTGTAGGACCTGCAGGCATGAAGGGATTAGGCGGCATGGTCAAGCTATCTCCTCCTCCTTCTAACATTTGAACCGCTGTTTTCATGGAAGGACGATCCGATGGGTGCCACTGGATACACCACAGTCCTATAATTGCAAGTTTCTTTGGAATTTTACCATCTTCTTCTTCCCCAATATGGATTCGTAGGTCATCCCCTTCCTCTAGAAGATTATAAATCCACTGTGGATAGTAAATTTCATTTGTAGTGTTATCTGTGGTTGAACCAATATTCTTCCTTCCTCCTACCATCTCAAGTAGCAGCATTCCAAAGCTATAGACATCTGCCTTGTAAGACACATTTCCAAAATTCCTGGAGAACACTTCGGGTGCAATGTAGCCCATGGTCCCCCGCGCTGTAGTCATGGACACCAAGCTTTGATCCTTGGAACATAACTTGGCCAAACCAAAATCAGAAATTTTTGGAGTGAAGTTTTGGTCCAGCAACACATTATGGGGTTTGATATCGAAATGCAGGATTCGTAGATCGCATCCTTGGTGAAGATATTCAATTCCTTTGGCTATGCCTAGGGCAATATCTTGCAGCTTATCCCAACCAAGAAAGGAATTCTTACTATCTGCGGATGAAATGAAATCCTGCAGGGAACCCTTGGGGAAGAACTCGTAAACAAGAGCACGTATAAATCCATCAGCACAAAATCCAACCAAGCGAGCCACATTGATGTGGTGGATATGACCCATCGTTCGCACTTCATTTACGAACTCTTCCCCATCTCCCTTGGAACTGTTGAGGACTTTGACAGCAATAAAGAATTCAGAAGAGAGCATTCCTTTGAAGACAGTTCCATAGGCTCCTTCGCCCAACTTGTCCTTGAATTGATTTGTAATCCTCTTAATATCTGCGTACGAATACCTGCTTGGTTTGAGTGCTTTGTAATCCTCCAAGAATCTTTCAATTCTTAATTGACTCTCTTTTTCCTTTCTGTCAGCGCTATATACCCGATATGCTGCAATCATCAGTAGAACAAGAAGCAAAGAACCCAGGATTCCACCTGTAACCACTAATTTCCATGTGTTGCCTGTAAAGGAATTGCAAATTAAATCGAGACTGACAATTAATATCCTCAGAAAAATGGATCGGACAACATCCTTGAAATAATAATTACTGAGACATAAATGTAACGATGTTTAAAACTAGCAATGAATATAATCTTCTCCTTACTTGGTTTCCTCACGTGTTGACATTCAATTTCACTGTTGGTGCCATTGTTCTTCCATCTACACCTCTTTCCCTCTGCTTCACATTCTGTACAATTTGGTTTCGACCATTTGAATTGAAGAACACGGCCATTACCCACCCAATTGCCAAACGGAACTGATAAGACATCATACATCTTTGAACAAGATTGTAGATTCTGGAAGAGATTTTTTAATAGATATGTAGAATCAATGGCATAAATTCTGCTGCCAGGGTCGCCGAGGCAAGGGACTTGATACGCATTCGTATCTCTTACAACAGAAGTAGGACAACTGAATAAGGTAACGTTACTGAAGCTAAAATATGACAAGTAGTTAATTGGGGGATGCACTAGCATTTCCTGACGCTTGTACTCTATGTTTGTGATTTCGACAGGCTTTAGCAGCAGGCAGTTACTTGGGGAATACACTTGGATTTCCTGACGCTTGTAATCTATGTGTTTGACAAATAATTTAACTAGTATTTGCTGCTCATACCTCCCATTGCATTCAAGCCCAGGATTTCCACAATGATGTGTGCGGCTGATGCGCAATGGGAAATTGACAGCCGGGCCTTGATCATCGCCACACTCGGATTCCGGGCATACATATTGGCTTGCTCCAACTAGTTTGAAAAAAACCAATAACAATATGCAGAAGGAAGAGATGAACAATTTCTGCATTTCTGAGCTAATAATAACAAAAATAATGCGCATGGATTTTTCTTTTGTGTAATTAAGCGGAGATATATACATACTAATTATACACTGTCCTCCATTAATGAAAGAGAGATAGAGGGAGCATTATGATTACACAGTTCTGTCTTTGCCGTTGAATTACTGCAACTCCACGGAAGGCTCCCGTATTATAATACTACTTGGTGTCTTTGGTTGACTGACTGTGTCAAACACCGTTGGCTGACTTTTATCTTGGATATTTGAAGTCCTTATACAACTTCACGGAAGGTGCTTTAACCCCTCTCCTATATTATAATACTATTTGGTGTTTACCAGTACACCTCTCTCTCTCTAATGGAAATTAGAGGACCCAGGTCCTTCGCCTTAATTTTAGCCTTCCTTCTTTGCTTTTGCAGTGAAACTTGTAGCGCTAAGGAGAATAATAGTAGTATTGAGAGTTAATTTGGTATTGTTGTGCTTTTAAAACAAATTGTTTATGATGTGTGGTGACAATAATAAATTATGAAAAGATTGTGTTTCTTGACCGCAATCATTTGAAAGTTTTTTGACAAAAGAACTCTTTCTATATAAATGTAACATCTCACATCGTTCAGAGAAGTGATTCTTAAATGTATATTCTCATCCCTACTTAGCACGAGATCTTTTGGGAGCTCATTAACTTCATAGTTTCGTGAGTTCTCAGAAACAAAACTGTGAGGAAATGGTAAGCCCAAAACGGACAATATCGTGCTACGGTGATGGAGCAGACCCGAAAAGTGATCTTCCATAGGCCGGGATATGACAATAAATGCATGACCGTGACAATAACATATGTAATTGTACAAAATGATTTTTTTTTTCCTTTTTCTATTTGCCTTGTTATAACCTGTAACTTAAAATAATGCATGACCAGGACAACTGCTTAAGGTTAGGTCATATTTTCTGCTCATATCTCCCATTGCATGGACATCTAGAGAGAGAGCATTATTGTTTCACAAGTCTGTCTTTTCTTGTCATTGATGGACTGCGTCAAACACCATTAAGCGACTTCTCTCTGTTAAGAAATATTATATGTATATATTTTGTTAATATATTTACAGATTTGTATTGCAAATGATTCATGAAATTAATCATTACTATCAAGATGGTCTCTGAAATTAAAAATCAATCAATATAGTCCCTAAAAATAAGTATCGCAAATCAATGTGGTCATTCCATCACAATTTTGTTAAAAATTTCATTAAGGGCTGATGTGACACATAAATAGGCCCCACAAAATTTACAAGTTTTTATCATAAATGGTTCTTGAAATTGACCCACACCATCAAGATGGTCCCTGAAATTGATTACACCATCAAAATGGTTCTTAAAATTAAAAATCGATGAATGTAGTCTTTGAAAATAGGTGTCGCAAATCAATATGATCATTCCGCCACAATTCTATAAAAAAAATTTGTTATGTGCTGATGTGGGTTTAAGAATTAATTAAAAAAGTTGTCTAAATACCTTTTTGCACAATGGAATTTTTTTTCTTGTAGTAGGCCTACTCTGAAGAGAGATCCCTTCTATAAATTCTCAAAGGCACAAGGCTTAAACAAGGCTTAAGAGGGGGTTTGGAAATGGTTTAACTAACAATAGACGCACTTCGGTTATAACCTTATTATTTCAAGGTGGACCTCACCGTTCTTTGAGTCTCCAGACCACCAGGGAAGCATCGAACAAGCTCGCCAAGATTAATGTTATGAGGATGTTAATCGCCTAAATATTAACATTAATAGGCCCAGAAGTCATTGCCAATTGGGCTAAGCCATCACCAACGGTGATCTCGATCGAAGTGTGTAAAGATGGGTGAATTGAGTTTTTTTTTAGAGAATAGACAGCGAAGGAGGTAGAGGAATGTGGACTGGGATCGGTGGTGATTCCAGGACTGGGTTTTCAGGTTGACAATATTTTATTAACTATTAAATTATTAAACCCATTTGATTTTTTTTTAATTTAATTAGACTTGTATGACTTATTATGTATTACATCAACACATAACAGATTTTTTTACAAAATATAACTACATTGATTTGGGACACTTGGAGGACTACATTGATTGATTTCAATTTCATGGATCATTTTAATGTCACGGGTCAATTTCAGGGACTCTTTTAATGTCGCGGGTCAATTTTAAGAACGATTTGTGAGAAAAAAAGACCTATGAGATCCATATATGTGTCACATCAGCACTTAAGTATTTTCATGAACTACCTTGATTGATTTCCAATTTCAGGGATTATTTTGATGATGATGGTCAATTTCAAAGATCATTTGTGATAAAAATTCTATATTTACCTAAATTGGTTTGAGTCAAATCCCACTAAATGTGGGGTTCTTTTTCCTAGCCATTGATGTAGGGTTGATTAGTTGACTTAGTTGTGTATATATTGTCCAATATACTCAGTCAATGACAAACGAAATTCATTCAGTCTGCCACTTTCATAGCCTTCATATTCAGCCATTTTTAAGAGTCCCTAGGACACCATTGACCGACTTTTCTCTAGAATATTTGATGTGCATACTGCAATTTCACGGAAAGTGCTTTAACCCCACCTTATTATATAACTACTTGGTGTTTACTAGTACACCTCTCTCTCTCCCTCTCTCTCTCCCCCCAATGGAAATTAGTGGAAGCAGGTCCTTCACCTTAAGCTTAGCCTTTCTTTTTCTTTGCTTTTGCAGTGAAACTTGTGCCAAGTCATGTACTTCATCCTGCGGCCATATCCACAACATAAGCTATCCTTTTCGACTGAACGATGATCCGAAGCACTGTGGCAACGTTAAGTATACTCTGTCCTGTGAGAGCAACATTACAGTACTAGACATACCTTCTTCCGGAAAATACTACGTCCAGGCAATCAACTACGATAAGAAGACAATCCGACTTGTAGATTTTGGCCTTCAAAGCAACAATTGCTCTTCCATGCCTCAAAATATTCCGCCCGACACTATTCTATATTCGTCATGGCCTTCAACATCTATATATTACTTGATGTGTTCGAATCCATTGAATTCTTCTCTGTACGTGGACACTGCTCCATGCTTGAATAATACAAGTTCTTCTTCGAGCCAACCAAAAACGTATAGCTATGTCAAGGTCGGGGAAATAGAACTATGGGATTTGGATGAGGGTTGCAGTGCAGAGTGGATGACTTTGGCTCCCATCAACCACGTTGACTACAGCAACGTCTCTTATAAAGACATACAGAATGCGCTCATGTATGGCTTTGAGCTTGGATTCGAGGCACCTTATGCAATACGCTGCCAAGGCAAATATTGGACCGGGAATTATGTGTCTACGTGCTTTCCGCAGACCATTTCAGGTGCGTCAACTCTCGATTAAAGTAATAAACTTGTGTATGTAGTCTGAAAAATAATTGCCTTGTCAAACTATGAACATATAACATACATTCAAGCAAGAATAAAGTCCTGGTTAATTGTTCGGACTCGCACACTGACTAAATAACCAGTTCAGGTATATCCTAATTTGCAATCCATTGTATGGAAGATGGATTAAAGGTATCAACATATGTCGCTAGTGGTATTCCAATAAATTTGTAGGTAGGAGGTCTCATGTTTGACTTATATAAATAGCGAGTTCAATATCTGATTATTGAGGACCCATTGTGTGATTTAGCTTAAATTCTTGATATGGACTTATGTACCTCACACTTGTTATGCTAATATGGTCTTGCTCTTTCTTTGTTCCTGTAGGTTTCTTTCAATTTCTATGGCAGCAAATCAGTAAGCGGTCTTCTTATAGTTTTATTTATGCAATGTTTACAAATTTTCAGTCGACAGCCTTGATTTTTTAAATTTTGAAGACTGGGTGAGCTATTGCTAATTTTGTGTATTCTTCTTCACATTTTTCACTGCAGGTCGTGAAAGGATCTGGTTGCGTAAGAAATTTCTCCCCAAAAGCTTCTTTTATTTCTTTGGCCTCTATCTGTACTTCTTAAACCTAGTAAGTGTATGACTTTGCTCACTTTTCTATAATATGTATCTATTGCAGCTGGCAAGTTGAGTTCATTGTTTCACAACAACTACATCGGTAAGAGCTTCAGTTAATTAGTCCATACGCTCAAGTCTCTTGGTTTTGGGTGTCATTATTGGCACCCAAATTTTAGTTAAGTTCACTTAACTAAAACATTTTGTCACTTATAAACTTCAAAGTCTGCCCTCATTTTTATGTTCACCCAAAATCAAATTAATCGAGATTGTCAATTTCAAGTGTCCGGAAGGGGAAGGAAATGAAATGACTGACAGACTTGCTGCTTGGTGGTGTGTGTGTGTTTGTTCTCTTTCTTTTAGTGAGTGGTACTTGCTGCTTGGTGGGTTGGGTGAACTCAAAACCGACGGCAAATTATGAAGCATAATGACAATTTTTTAGTTGAGTGAAACTTAACTAAAATTTGGGTGTCAATTAAGGCACGCTTCGATCTTTTTTTCACTTTATGCACTTTTCAAACTCATAGTCGATTGATTTTGTTGCAGTACGTGGATGGGTTATACTCATATGCATCGGTAAGAACTAAGACAAGATTGTATTATTAGCATATATAGATTTCCCATTCCCTCTCTTTAATTACATCAAAGAAGGAATTTGGAAAGAAAGGGAACAAAAGTAGTAAGCAGTGGATCTAACATATTAATGTCAATGCATGCAGGGTTACTTGTCCTAGCCAAAATAATTTTTGGAGTTCCAGTTGTGACTGCTTTTTTAATCTATAGATGGCGCAGAAGGCATTTGTCTATGTATAGCACAATAGAAGATTTTCTACAATGCGATAACAACTTCATGCCTATAAGGTACTCTTACTCGGACATCAAGAAAATGACTCGCCGGTTCAAGCACAAGTTGGGTGAAGGTGGCTTTGGCACTGTATTTAAAGGAAAGCTCCGCAGTGGCCGTTTTGTAGCAGTTAAAGTCTTGGGCAAGCCCAAAGCTAATGGCCAAGATTTTATTAGCGAAATATCTACGATCGGAAGGATTCACCATGCTAATGTGGTGCAACTTGTTGGATATTGTGTCGAGGGATCAAAGCGCGCTCTAGTATATGACTTCATGCCTAATGGCTCTCTTGATAAATACATTTATTCCAAAGAAGGAAGTCTTCCCTTGACTATCAAGAACATGTACGAGATTTCTCTTGGAGTGGCTCAAGGGATTGAATATCTACATCAAGGTTGCGAAATGCAAATTCTACATTTCGACATCAAGCCTCATAACATTCTTCTTGATGAGAACTTTAAAGCAAAGGTTTCTGACTTTGGGCTTGCAAAATTGTATCCCGTAGATAATAGCATTGTCCCTTTGACGGCAGCACGGGGTACATTGGGGTATATTGCTCCTGAGTTGTTCTACAAAAATATTGGAGGCGTCTCATACAAGGCAGATGTCTATAGTTTTGGAATGTTGTTGATGGAAATGGCAAGCAGAAGGAAGAATTGGAATGCAAAGGTAGAGCATTCAAGCCAAAACTACTTCCCAGTGTGGGTGTACGATCAGTATATTGTGGGAAATGACTTGGAAATGGACAATGTTACAGAGGAGGAAAAGAAAGTAATAAGAAAGATGGTTATAACCGCCTTGTGGTGTATTCAAATGAAACCAAGTGATCGCCCTTCAATGTCCAAAGTTGTCGAAATGCTTGGAGGAGATGTTGAATGTCTGCAAATGCCTCTCAGGCCTTCTTTATGCCCACAAGAGACGCCTGTGACTGTGGGTGATATTCAAGTCAATAAATCGAACCCAATATGTTCTAACGTGGAGCTAACATGTTCATTGTCAGCTAGGTGATGATCAAATTGTTGAGAAAGTGCAATAATGTATTATTAGTTAAATTCTTACTTTAAAGTGATTTAAGTGAAGAACTGTCATCTGTAATTGTTTGGGCTTGGATTCATCTAAGAACTACTGGTGTTGGTGCGTATACATATACATGTTACTCTAATTCAGCAATTGCTATTAACTGTTGGAGCCTTTTAGGGATGCTTGCATCGTCAAGTTTTCTCCTCCTAACATCTGAACCACCATTTTCAAGGAAGGATGATCCACCGAGTGTCACTGGATGCACCAAAGCCCTAAAATTGCAAGCTGCTTTGGAATCTTACCATTCCCTTCTTCCTCAATATGGATTCGTTGGTCATCTCCTTCCTCTAGAAGATTACAAATCCATTTTGGATAGTATATTTCATTTGTCGTGTCCTCTATTGTTGAACCAATATTCTTCTTTCCTCCTACCATCTCAAGTAGCAGCATTCCAAAATTATAGACATCTGCCTTGTAAGACACATTTTCCTGGAAAACACTTCAAGTACAACGTATCCCATGGTCCCCCTCGCTGTAGTCATTGACACTGATTTGATCCTTGGAACATAACTTGGACAGACCAAAATCAGAGATTTTTGGCGTGAAGTTTTGGTCAAGCAAAACATTACCAGGTTCGATAGCGAAATGGAGGATTCGTAGATCACATCCCTGGTTCATTTGGCTTGGCCAATAGCAATATCTTGCAACTTATCCCAACCAAGGAAATTACTATCTACAGATGAAATATAATCCTGGAGCGAACCATTGGGAAAGAACTCATAAACCGGAGTTCGTCTAAATCCATCAGCGCAAAAACCAACCAAGCGAACCACACTGACGTGTTGAATATGACCCATTGTTCCCACTTCATTTACAAACTCTTCCCCATTGCCCTTGGAATTGTTAATTACTTTTACAGCAACAAAGCATTCAAAAGAAAGCTTTCCTTTAACAACAGTTCCGTATGTGCTTTGGCCTAACTTGTACTTGAATTGATTTGTAATCCTCTTAGTATCTGCATGGGAATATCTCCTTGGCTTGAGAGCTTTGTAGTCTGCCAAATTTTTATCGACTTTTCAATCAATTCTCTTTTTCCTTTCTGTCAGCGCTAGTGGCGTGAAACAAAGCTAAACACCAGTCCTACACAACTCACCTGTGGCCACAAACGTCTTTGTTTTGCCTGTAAAAGACAGTTGCGTAAATTAGACTGTCATTTCTCGAAATTAATTAATATTTTTACCACATATATAAGCCGCTAATTACATGAAAGCAAAAAATCACAACATGTAGCAGAGTATATCAATCATCATCATTAAAAACTTCATGAGCAGAATACATGCGAAATAATATTTACACGCATTATCCTTACTTGGTTTTCTCCAGTGAACAAATTCAGTTTCGTTCTTGGTGCCATTGTTCTGCCATATACATCTCTTGCCCTCTGCTTCACATTCTACACAATTAGGTTAGACCATTTGGAATGAAGAGTTTGATATTCATTTCCCACCCAACCACCAAATGGAACTAATAAAACATCATACATCTTTGTACAGGACTACAAAGCCGGGAAGCTTTGAAATAATTGAAAGAATGAAGAGACGCCATAAATTCCGTCGCCAGGGCCACCGATGCACTTATTACCGTCGTTTCGCTTTTGTAGAAGACTGATGGGACAAATTAAAGCTGGATGGTGATTTGCAGTGCTTGAAAATAAAGCTTTTATTTGGGAGTAAGCAGGAATAATAATCTTGTACATAACATTTGTGAGAATAGCTCTGCAGAGCATTGATGTTCTTCATGGCATCTTATCTTAAACACTAATGGGATAACTCGGAATTTTCATTATTCTTCTCATCAGTTTTGAGATTGTTTTTACTCAATTCCATTCAATCTGTTGAGAGAGTGTCATTTTTCGCTCATATCATGTTCATACTGCCTACTTTGGTTCATAAAGTTCCACATTTATGCATGACGAAGCTTGTATTAGATGTATATTTTTGTAGGACGTGTCGTTATCAATCACATAACACGTGATTTAGACTTCAAGTCTGTCAACTGACACTTAAGGCAAATCTTGCCAATCATTTCTTCAACATTAGGTGAGGGCAGAGATGGAAGAGATCAAACACGGGCAAGCTTGCTTTCGGCGAATCAAATGCCGCGGTCTAATAATGAACCGTTCTGATTAGGAAGTTTTGTGAAAGATTGTTGTGAAAGGTTTCATTAACTTTATAATTTATGTCGAGTAGACCTTGTCCGTCATCGGCCTTTTTCAGTAGACCATTATCTATGCATGTATTTTCAGATTGGACTCTCGAATCTTCTGCTTCTCAAACAATGCAGCTTGCGTTAGCACGCACGAGAAGAAATGGGGCTTTCAAGGCAAGGTTTAGTGTTCATCCGTGGGGAGGAGGATCCATATTGTGTTCTAGTAGGAAGCACCCTGCTTCCTTACTCTTTAAAGTAAGCAAGTAAACTACCCTTAGGTATACATCAGGTTTTTATTCCTAACTCATCAAATCAAGTAGACTGACTTTTAGTTGACGTGGCTCTTTCCTGACATCGTCACACCCTGGATCCCGTTGTGTTTGGGGTTTCTGATAAATGATTGAACTTCACAGATGAATTGCTTGTCTCATCTGTGTTGATTAAGATCTCCCCTGTTTTTCTTGGCAATAAACTCCTGATCATTTTCTGTTGTGGTTTGTGTATACTTTAATATTATTCGTTTCTTTTAGGGATTTGAATGCGGTTGATTTTGTTCTGTACCTTGTTTGTTCAGTTCATTTAACTTTAAGATTTGTCACTTAGTAACGATCTAGTAGTATTCATTTTCATTTGTAATTGAGAGATTTTAGGTTCGATTCTCGTCAAGGCGAATTTGAATCACATAATTGCTAGCCCATTAGTGTAGATAATATTGTTTATTCAAAAAGAAAAAAAAAACCTTCAACAAGACTTTTTTTTTAGAAAATGTTAGTCTTAACATGTTTTTCAAATAATATCTCTCTAGTGTGGTGGCAAGTGATACATACAACTAACATTCAATGAGATAAACTCATTACAAGATGTGAGCATGTACACAGTCATATCACAATATGGTATACCAATGTAGTACAAACATGTGATCTCTATAGTATTTTGCTTTTTTTTTTTATTTATATTTGTTAATAGAAAGGATAATTTTTACCGATCCTTAGGATTACACACAACATCATGTAGAACATATTGAACGATGAGTAGACTCCTCACATTAATCTACATAACTATCAAATATGGTTAAATTTGGACTCCTGCACATGGGAAGCCCATACTTGACTTGCACATGAGCTACTTTATGAATTGGAATTAATTGTGGTCCGGGGACCATTGCTTTGATACCACCAAAAGTAGTCATGGTGATCCTAAATTACGCTTGAAATTGACATGTGATGGTAGGATAGTAATGGTACAATATAAAATTCATAAGAGTCATTGAGGCTCATACATACAATATACATCAGAGCTTCATCGTAAATAAAGTACAACAAAGGGTAACAATACCTACTCTCGAGTGCACTACTCACACAACTACATCACCTGAAATCTTCTCCTCTAACTGCTACCGGTTACTCTGCAAACAACCTTGTGCCATGGGAATAGTGCATGGGGCAAAGCAAAACCTAGATAAGTTGCGAAGCTCGTATAAGCGACAATAATACAACATATGTAAATATAAGTAAGATCAAATGATTAAATATAAAAGTAGTGGCTACGTCCACATAGGACTTTCCTATGAATATTGGATCAATTCATCAATCTGATTACCGTCATTATCATTTCATGAATCTCTTCAAATTTTGACTCACCACTAGCCTTTCATCATTTTCCGAATAATCACAAGGGTCCAATTACCACATATTTTATAACATAACCAACATACACCTCATTAAATACGTACATGAATGGTTCCTCAAATCTAAATCTCACCACATGTCTTTTGAGATAATTATTAGTCATCATACAACCCGAAGTTGTGTAGGAATGACACACCATCAATACTACCAACACATGTAGGTATGAGATCGGTATCTTTTTTATATATCTTTGCATCTCTTTTTGTATCGAGCAGGAATGAGTCACATTCGAATTCATTCTCTTTTAGGCAACACTATCATTTAAATTGTTCGATTCAACTGTTTCTAGATTGAGCCCACATGTATTCAATCTCTTCTTTAAGATATGTAATAAACTAGGTCTAGGGCCATAAAGAGATACAATTCGATCAAATCCTACAATAGGTAACTGATGAGTCGATATTATCCTATATATTTTACCCTAATCTTAGTATTAATTTTTTGGTTAATTGGTAGAATTTTAATACTTTGAATTATATTTAGGACATTCGACTTCCTCTTTAGCAAAAAGTATTCAAACGGATGAATTTTGGAGTGATTCTAATTAGAGGATGTTTGTTAGTCTTTCAATGTGTTCGTATCAAAGTTTCAAACTTTTATATCAAGCGGTTTAATTATGGCGATGAAATAAAGAAGCAGCACGCAGTGCTGTCAAAGTGACGTTTTGGGCTTTTTGGCATCCAAGATGATGTCTTTTGGGTTCGAGTCCTTTTGCAATTATGTTCGGGGCATCTTAAGCTTTGGGCCTGTTTTGGTGCCTTGAAGATCCAAAAAACGTGGGATTCTTTGTGGCTGGGCAGCCCAAAGTTAGAATAGGAATGTATTTCCTAGTTATCTTATTTTATTATGTTTCCTAGTTTTTAGAAGATCTTTTCTAGTAGTCTAAATAAGGCTATTTAGCCATTACGGTTAGAGGGAGAGACGCATTATTTTGGAGAATTTCAGACTTTTTAACTGCGAGGTGTTTTCAATCCTTTTTCTAGTTAATGATATTTTCTTTAGTTTTTATTATGATTATGCGTAACTAATTACTATTGCTAGGGCGAAGTCATGAGCCTTAGCATGCATTTGTGATTTTGTTAATTTGCTTATGAATGGATGCATGCTTGCTTTGAATTATTAATCACCACGATTAAACTATCCAATTGTCTTAGTGATTTGCGACCATTAAGGTATCTAGACAAGTAATTTGATGCAATTTCTGTTGAAACACCACCCTGAAATTGAGGAGGGCTTCTTGTGATTAGTAA